AAAAAAAACAAATCAAAAACGATGTACACACCGTAAAAAATAAAAAAATTAGGAAAGGTGTGCGAGTTGACCTTCGAAATCTGTAGTATGTCCAGAATGTTTTGTTTGATTTCATATTGAAAAAGAAGACATAAGTAATTGCAACAGAAAAAAATAGAACCAACTCAGGAAGGTACGTAGTGTTTTTTTTGTAGCTGTAATTTATTTTACTAATTTAGCAATACTGACTATTATTATGTACTCAAATAACATTCGTTCGTAAACAACATTCTCTTTGAAAACTACAAATGTCCACTTTTGGTGCCACTACCGTATTTCATTTTATAAAACAATGACAAAATAAAACATTCTCTCACCTACTCCGCTACTGTTTGGAGAGTGAGCCTTTTGAGGACGTGAATATAACGGAGGTAAAGCTCCAGCTAACAGCCAAGAACTACTCATTTGCAACAGATGTTGTTGAGGCTTCGCCTTATCAAAGGGATTGCCTTCTTCCAATACTGGAGTAGCTAATTCCAAACCTAAAATAATAATTTCCTGTTGAAAATGTCTGAACAGTTATTGCTGCATAACATTAGAAATTGTAATAGACAGCAGATGATATACCTTGACTGGCAGCACTATCCTGTTTTAACAGACCTGAATGTTAAAAAGAAATGTTAGAAACTACAACAGTTCAATGAAATTTTAATTAGACAATTAATCTCTTTGTGGTTATGAAAAGTCAGTAATTTCAAAGATGTATGTACACTACCAGTCAAAAGTTTTTGCTCACCGCTTAAACCATTCACTATGTTTCAATATATGACTATATATATATATGAAAAAACACAATTGCTGAAGTTAGGCGTACTGTATTGATCAGCAAACGAGATCGACGACTCACAGGCTCAGAGATTACAACTCAAATTAATTTGTCTAAGGACTTGCCTGTGAGTACTTCTACTGAGAAAATAAGATAAAGAGAAGCTGGCCTTTTTGGGATCATACTAATGATTGTTATTTTTGTTCGACAAATGTAACAGAATATAATTCTAAAAACCATGCCAAAATTATATATCCTGATGTTTTGTCTATAAGAAAGCCAGTTTCACATGGACCCGAATTACCCCTACCAGTTTCTACTAAAACTAAGAGCTCTGATATGCATTTATCACAAAATTCAGAATATATTGATGATAATGATTTGTCAAGCAGTGATGAAATTTATAACCTTACGAATGATTCTCGAACTTTAAAACTGCAAGATATGAAAAAAGTCAATTCAAAAATTGTTGTTTTAATATTGTAGGAGATATTTTTAACCAACACCATCGAAAAGAGCATCGTTAAAAATATAGAAACACTGGTTATCGAATATTTTTTCTTTTAGCACTCATTACGTGACAAGGGTTCAAATGGAAATCGTGACCTCTGAGCGTTTATGGGTTAATAAATGAATATCGTTTCCTATTACTTCTAAGACAATTACGACAATTATTCACAATTTAAGAAAAAAACTTAAAAAAAAAAAATTCGTAGACCTGTGTAATCTGCCAAACACGTAGACGAGGTACAGTAACAAGACAATTTTATATAATATTAATAGAGTAACATAGATGTGTATCTGGAAAATTTTCAGTTGATTGTAAAAGTGGAATGAATACTTTCCAATAAAAGGAAAAATTTTTAGTACATGGGATTATAAACATTACTGAAGCCAGCAGCAACCAAGGACCAATAAAAACGAATAAGTATTAGGTAAAGAACAAATACGTCGGTATGTAAATATTGTAAATTAATGACAGTTACTATTAAAACTTTAGAGCGTCAATTATAATAATAACATATCTAAGGAACTTTCAGTGATTTTTCGACCACCAGAATCGTCTTTAGTTTTGCTAATGTATATAATGGTCTCCTTTTGATACATAATTTGTTTTCTATTATTCTGCTTAGTGATTTATCGTCCCATAAAATACTGCTTGATAATTTGAGCCACTAATGATAGCGTATACCCAAATCAATTATTATAAAGTGTCCGAATCCCATATGGGCGATCGGAATCCAGTTGGATGACACTTCACTTCAGAAGGTTTTTTCTAGTATTTTGCTCATACTTTGATAGTACAACTTGCTGCGGTGTACTGAATATACATAATAATAAAGGGGTGATTTTTTTTAGCCTATGGATACCATTCCTTTATAATTCAGGATAGGGAATATTTTTTTTTAATGTCTGAATTTTCTTTTAATAAAAATAAATTAATTCGAACGATTTCCCTGTATCAGTTCGTTTAAAAATATACTTATTCAATCAGTTATCAATTACCTGTTGCCATAGGAGGACCATCACTTTCTAACACCCTCCACGAGGTTGCTAAAGAGTGAACAGCGTATCGATGGAGAGGTAACAGAAGTCGTGGACAATTGGCTTGCAACCAGTGCGAAACGTATTGCCATGAAAGTGACTCTTTACCGTGGAAACAGCTATCGATAACCGCTTTGAGTGTCTTATTAATTGCTACACACATTTGTGGCCCCCCCGAATAATGATCCATCGAAATGTGATAATCACACATTAGCAATTGTTTTAATTGTTCCGAAGTCATTACGTGCGTCTCTTGATTTTCATCATAGGATGAGAACATTCGTACCAACGTGTCCCTAGCGGTATCATCATTTAATATCTGTAAACAGCGAACATATTTACATACAAAATTAATTAATACGAAGAAATTAGGTATAATAACTAAAAATTGTGACACTTGTTTTAAAAACTAAAACTTGCGTATGAAACCCTGGGCCGAATATGGAAAATTTAATAAACACAATCTGCTCATATGAGGCTATTGCCTAGATACAAAACGGTTTGTGTTTGTGAGTTTATTGTGCTATTGTGCAAACCCTAGCTACCTAACTTTTAAGTAAATAACACGAGTAATCGCGTAAACTCCATATGGCGCCAACAAGCGAATGCAAAATTGAAATGCAATTTGATCTTCGAAAAATACACTTTCAATGACAAGTGATTAATACGTAGGCGCTAGGAAACTATTGATACTAAAAAGTCTAATAGCTACTAGCATGGATTGGGATTGGTGGTTTGGTTTATAAGTATAACAGGCTGGATGCTATCGGAGATATTTTATGCGGGATATAACTATATAGCAAATGCCTTAGATAAGTGGCTGGAGGAAAAACTTGTCAAAAGACAGATAACAGGTCTTTTGATTCGTCGATGTGTATAAGACCCACCTAACACTAAGTTTTGTTCCAAAAGGTAAATAATAGAGTACGCATTACCTCCAAATATGACAAATATAACTCAACCAGCCGATATGTTTTTAGACCTTTAAAGATTAAACAAATCAATTACTAAGAACAAAACTTAGTCCTCTCTTAAAAAAATTCTAGGAAACCTTAAATTAGCGATAAGTATCGAAAATGACTTTAGCAAATATCCTTTTAACCCGGATGTCATAGACTACTCCAAATGTATCCAGAATACATTAGAGAATTTACCACATAATAATCATGAATCTCCCATATCCGGAAATGATATTATTACATAAAGAACCAGCACTACAGAACGAAGGAATTGACACTTTATTCGTTCTTCAAGAAAAATTAAAAGCAAGGACACCGTTGCATGGATTTTACGTCAAATATAGATGGAGGACTGTCCCCAATTTCTCTGCATGCATCTAACGGGACAGTTTGATATTGATACCCTATTTTAATTGAATTAAACACTGACGCATGAAATGAAATAAATTCAAAAAACCACGATATCACTATGTTAGTGACTAATGGAATAATTTCAGAAGCTCCAGTTGAGACTATTAGTATAGCTAACGAAAAACTTCTCCGAAAAATAAAATTTCAAGTATCCACGAGAAATTGGTTTTGATATGTGTTCCGAATATTAACTATTCTCAAAATGATTTATTTACAGTAATAGAAGAGAAAAAATTTAAAGCAACTTTTTCAATGATTTGAAAGTATATAATGCAAACGAGAAAACTGTTTACAAACGCTTGAACTCACCTTCGTCTACAATGAAGTCATAAATGTCAAAGAAGTCTGGTTAAATATTAACCCTTATGGATAAATTCAGGGTGGTAGAGATCATGAGGATCACTATGGCACCTTGATGCACAATACTGCGATGTGAAAGGCAACGGGAAACCACATTATATCTCATGATGGCGTTATCTGGGGTAAAGTACTTCGGAAGTAAACTAGTCCCCCCATTAGGATGTCCGGGTGCGCACTACCTTGGGGATCTCATCAAGTTCAATATTTCACGAGTCGGAGCGTGGAATGTTAGAGCAATGAGGCAAGTACGGAAATAAAAGAAATTGAAATTTTAGATTAATAGATTAGAATTAGATATGGTAGGGTAGATGTAAGCCTATATTGGATTACTGTTCGCAAATAGTTAAGGATGTAGGATATTCTAGTTTTAGGGAAATGCACGTAGGCGTTTACCGTTCGGAGCTGAATATAAATGACGTGTTCTTTTATGGTGGGAAAAGATTGTACAAAGAAGTTTGCTTGAAGGAATTTAAAATTAGTCAGTTTCCTGCTTTTACGTTGTCTAGTACTTTAAGGGTTACCATATACGGTCGGTTTATGATAAATAAGGTTGTGGTTTTGTTTGATACTATAACTACAGGTATGTTTGATGTATATCCTGATTCGTACGGTACAAGATGCGGGTGGTGTTGCCACCTGGCTATTCAATTACAAATTTGATAATAAAAAATATAATGAATGTAATTATTTATGTTGTTATGTAAATTCTTATGGTCAAGCTGGAACTGATAAGATTGATTGTACTTTGTATTCTAATCCGGGTGTAATAATTAAACGTTTGCATAAAAAATCAAAATTGAAAATAACTAAGTGTGGTAAATGTAAGAAGTATGTACCTGCTGCGTCTGTTACTGGTGTAAATTTGGTATCTATGTTAAATTCTATGAAGGCTCCTTATGAAAGTAAAAATTTTTAAATTTCTTTTGGTCCTGGTATTCCTTTTGCAGTTGATAGTTCTAAAGCTGATGTTTTAAATGTATTTGATTTGTATATGGAGGGTAGTGTTGGTATATTATTCTTGTATTGGTCGTGATTATACTGCTTGAATAACAATGTTTTGCCTTCCTCCTTTGTTTTATTAGACAGTGGATCCTTATCATTTGGCCATATATAGTCACTTTGTTGATGGGTAGGGCAGAGTCGCGGAGTCTAGTACGCCACCTGTATTATCACGTACACGGTGCATGATATCTACGAGTGGGTGGAATTAGATAAAGCGGGGGGATGAGGAACCTCCGCCGTCATTGTTTTGGTTGTGAATGCCTAATGTTGCAAAGGCACTAAATGTAAAAAACATCGTTCCACTGAATTTTGATTTAACAATTACAAATTTTATCATACGGCCATCAAATAAGTGTATTTTGATTTCAATATGATTACTGCTAATGGTTTAGGTTTCAAGAATAAATTATTTTCAAACAAACGTTTGACCACATCAAGCAGTGCACCCAACAGCCACTTCAGCTGAAACGTCCCGACTTCAGCAAACCTTTCGTTCTACAGACAGACGCAAGTAAGAAGGGAGCTGCTGCAGTCTTATACCAAGAAGACGAGGGCGGAAATAAGGACATCGTAGCGTATGCAAGCACGAAGTTCAACCCTACGGAACAGGCCTACCATAGTAATGAACAGGAGTGTCTTGCAGTAGTGTGGGCAATTNTCTAAAGACTACATTCCATTTTCGCCAGTCTGTCAGACCATTACCGAAAGCAGGGCCAAGAAAGCAACAAACACAAGGGAAAAAAGAAGTTGTGCTGTTTTGACACACTCCCGAGAAAGATGCGCTTGCTTTAGAACAATGTTAAGGAAAAACTAAAACTATCAAGAAGATAGAAGAGTCCAAGAAAAAAGCAGTGAAGAAAGCAATTTTTAAAAGTTCCTCAAAGTCTGATGAAGAGAATCACTCTGTTAAGAAAATTAATAAAAAGGTCGATAAGAAGAATAAAAAAAAGATGTAAAGAAAACACAACTTCCTTTAGACCCCGAAGGGGATGATTATTTTTGTCTAGTGTGCGCTGAGTCCTATTTAGACAATCTCCCAGGAGAAGAGTGGGTACAGTGCACTTGTTGCCGACATTGGGCTCACATTAAATGCACTTCTAGTATCGGAGCAGTTTATGTTTGCATGAACTGTGATAGTAACTAAACTAATGAAGTTACTTTTTTTTAATTACAAGTATTATTTAAGTTTGTTTTTGTTTCTATGAGGAATCTCAGAAGTTTTATTATGTTTTTGTTGCTATGTTTCATATATTTTAATGTGCAAAGGTTTGTAAAACCCATTGGCTCAAGTCACCCTGTTGGGTGGTTCAATAGACCCCGACGGTGGGGTCTAATGAGTCATATGAGGTAAAGGTAAAGTTATAAGGTAAATTTAGTATAGAAAACAACGGATTTTTTGATCTCAATATGCGGTGAAATAAAAAACGACTGATTTAAGAATAACTCTTTTCTTATTTTTTCT